GCTGCCAGACCCCCTGTTACTATCTTGCCCTTCAAGTAATACAGGTTGTTTTCCTTGACACCTCGCATCACCACCATGGACCCCTTTATGACCTTCAGAGTAGCATTCTCCAAGATCACCTTATAGCCAGCTGCCTCCAAAATTCCAAGTGAAATGATATTCTTCGTCAACTGAGGAACGAATCTCACTTCCTTCAGCTCCCGAGTCACTCCGTCACACATCCGGATCTGTACTGTACTAATACCACTAATAAGGCACACGTGATCATTACCCATGAGCACGACATCCCCTCTTTCCAACTCCTCAAAGCTGGAGAACCAATCCCTCCTAGGGCAAATATGGTATGTAGCACCAGAATCCATCATCCACTCCGTAGAGTCAGCGTAACAAACTGACGGTAGTGCAGAGCAGGAATAGCCTGAAGAATCTGTATCTGAATTGTCATCACTAGCTTTGACAACATTCACTTCCGAAGCTTGTACAGCTTTCCCTTTATTCTTCCCGGCTTTATCTTTTAACTTTGGGCAGTCATTCTTCCAATGTCCTTCTTCTTTACAAAAGCGACATTGATTCCTACCAATATTTCTATGGCCACCTCTTGACTTCGATCTTGAGCGATCACCTGGACGACGGTTTGGACCACAGCCTCGAACTGCTAATGCATCTCCCGATGCCTTCTCGGAGGGTTCGCCATCACTCTTCCTCAACTCATAATTCACTAAAGCTGAGGTCACCTCCTTGTAGCTAACCGTAGTTCTTCCATTTATCATAGTGAGAACGAATGTACCAAAATCATCCTCTGGCAACGAACACAATAGTGGCATCGCCTTGTCTTCATCCTCAACCTTGATATCTACATTGGCCATATCCGAAATTAGCTTCGTGAAGTTGTTAACATGCTCCCGAATGGAAACTCCCCTCTTCATCTTGAATTGATAAAACCTCTTCTTCAAGTGAAGCCGATTCTTAATGCTCTTCATCAGATACTTCTCATTGAGTGTTTCCCACATTCTCTTCGCCGACGTCTCGTTCATTACATTATAAATGAGATCCGGCGTCAAGCATGACCGAATTACTCCACAAGCCCTGCTATTCATTTTCTTCCAAACCTTATCATCCATATCAGCGGGTTTCTCTTGTAACTCAAGAGTCTCCTCCAAATTTTATGCATCCAAGGCGTCCATCACCTGACACCTCCACAAAACAAAATTGATCTTGCCGTCGAACTTCGGAACATCAATTTTTATATTATTGGTGCTCAGACTCTGTATCGCCTTCGAAAGAGACGATCCCGATGTGCTTGTTTCTCCCATGTTATCGATCTAATTCTTCAAATAGGAATTCTTCAGCGAATCCTTCGAACAAGCTCCCAAGTCCAACCCGGAGCTCTGATACCACTTGTTGTGCGCAGCAAAAATTTCGGCAGCACTTCGGCAGCACAACAAGAGAGATTAGATCGATAAGAATTCCCGTCTCACCAAGGAAACAAGAATCTGAAGCGGATATCTCAACCAAGTGAGATATCGGCTCTTCCTCTCATCAGTTCTAGGACTGACCTGTCGAGGGATCCTACAAGCTATTACAAATCACGACAAGAACACAAATTTTACGTGGTTCGGCAAATAGCCTACGTCCACGGAGAAAGGAGGGGGGAGATCTACTATTAGAGGGAGAGAATATAACTAGGGTTTACAATCACTCAATCTAAACCCTCTCAAAACAAACTCTCAAATCCCTCTTAATCTCTCTCTTCAAAGGGACAGCAGACTCTGTTCTTTTGCACAAAGAACAGTCGCAGTCAAGCACAAAATCAGCTTGCTTTTCTCCTTAGCCGCCAACGACAGCCTCCTGCTCAAAACCCTCTGCAGCCTCCGCACAAAACAGCCGCCCTCTTCAAAATCTAATCAGCCGCTGCCCCAAAAACAAAAAAACCTAATCACTTGATATATATATAGGACTTGGGTGGGCCGCATTATTTGGGTGGGCCTCCTGCAAATCCGCGCTCACAAATGTAATATCCACAACTAGGTTTCAACGATCACATCTTGAACGTCATCAGTTTGAAGATGAGTATGATGAAATTTCACGTGGATTTCTCATTTTGCTTGTAAGATAATTCAATATGACTAAACAAGTAGGTAACGTGTTGTAATTAGCTCAATGAAGAATATCAATCCTAACTTTGCAGAAACTTTTCCACTTCATTCTTCTCCATAATGTCGAGGGCATGCATGTTCTTTCTTCTCAATCATATAACTATATAAGGATCAAAGTCACTTAGAATTTGAAACGGATGACACTTTCAGTCTCAGTGTATTATCTTTGGTAGGAGAGGAACTTGAGGATTTTTTAGAGTAGAGCTTGGCAGCTTGAGATTTTGCTTCGAGCAGTAAAGATCTCCATCTTTTCTATAGTCATGAACGAAAACTTTCCATTAATTACATATAAGAGAGAAAATTGAGAAACTGTAAAATGTGCTCTCTAGTTAGTTGGATTCCAAACATGTTCTGTTTCAGATTGATGTACTTAAACTTTTTAATTGGTAAATGAATAAAAGCTTTTTCATTGACCAAAAAAAAGTCACTTAGAATTTGGATAACTGATCAACTATATATCTTTGTCATCATTGCAGAATTTGTAGTTACCAGTTTTGTGATCCTTCTGGTATGTCAGGATATTTCTCTCTCAAACCAATTCGTGTAATGTAGTCCATATAACAAGCTCAAGGAAGTCTCAGTTCATCAGGTTTCATGAAATCAATATCAGCCAAATTGATGAGGAATGTTCATGAAGTAATACCACATGCGTTGCTTTTTATTAAAGAACTATTGGCGCTTGCTTTATTTCTAGCAAATATCTTAATAAAAAGCATATATACAAAAGAATAGTATTAATTACGACAAAAGTCGGTGCTAGAATTGCAGCTTCGCTGAGCAATTAAGACTCTAAGCATATATACAAAAGAATAATATTAATTACGACAAAAGTCAGTGCCAGTATTGCAGCTTCGTGGAGCAATTAAGAGTCTAAGCATATATACATTTGTGTAATGTAGTTGATAAAACAAGCTCAAGATCGAAAATCTTGGTTTATGCATGTTTCATGAAACCAGTACAACCAATTTGATGAGGAAAGTTCAGGAAGTAATACCACACGGGTTGCTTTTTATTAAGAACTATTGGCGTTAGCTTTATTTCTAGCAAGTATCTTAATAAAAAGTATACAGACAAAAGAATAGTATTAATTACGACAAAAGTCAGTGCCAGTATTGCAGCTTCATTGAGCAATTAATAGTCTAAGCATAATGATCCATATCATGTAACTCCAATTTACCATAAGTAGGTCAGTTTTCTTCCACTTTCATTCCAGATACATGTACCTATATACACACACACTTATACTTACATATACATGTATAAATACATTGACATGTATGTATGAGTGCACATGTCTGCGTGTAATCTCTGCTTGTTTCCTATTGTTTGCAGTTAATACTGCGTCATATTAGATTCAGTAACCAACATATGACACTTTTGATGTACACAAGTTCTATATAACTACTTCTGCAAGATTGACACTGTATAGCAAATTTTTAGGAACTGGATATATGAGCTAATTATGCTAATAAGTTTTAATCTGTATATCCGATTTCATCAACTGCTCATCCTCTCAGACCCTGTGTTTGTATAGTAACTAATTAGGAGCTAAAAATAAATGTTGAAAAATAATTAATTAAGTATGCCAAGTAGAATACCTTTCAAGAAATTTAGCAGCCGTGGTTCATCGTAATTATGGTTCCATCTGGTAATGGATTTCGAATTTTCTAATTGATGTTTCTATGTGAATAAAACAATTAGGTAGAACTCATGACTAACTTCCCATGACTTTTTATTACATGATTAGTGCATGTCTCAGGCAATATGCTATCCATTATGACCTTTAAATAATACCCACAGCTGGGTTGGGTTGGTGGACAAGAATGTACACTTGCCGTATTCTTTTATGACAGAAGATATTTGCATCTTTAAGATATGAAATAAACTAGTTGACATAAAGTAGAAAAACTTAAACTTTTTGTTGCCTGTATATCCCCTAAAAATATTAGTATCGTCACTCTTTGATAAGGTTTAGTGGGTTCCACCATAATCAGCTACTGGCATATGGTGATGCACTAAATAATTGAGACTGTCTCCTAGATTCCATCTCGTATTAGTGTATGCATTGATGATATAATTGGTTGTTGTGACCTTAAGTAGCTACAATTTCTGCGAATTAAGTACTAAAAACATGAAGACGAAAAATGGGCGTGATGTATGTGTGTGTGTGTGTGAGAGGTGCGAGTTTTGAGAGAGAGAGAGAGAGAGAGAGAGAGAGAGAGAGAGAGAGAGAGAGAGAGACTGTTTTCATGCAAGCATTAGGAGGGCTTTTATCACACTTCATCATGATATGATACCGAAGTGCAAAGAAACCTGCACACTTTGAAGCCACAAAGAAGCGCACCAATTGAGTACTCACTGCCCTTAAGCATGGAAAGTTCAATATTACGCCCGAGGGGGTTCCCCCCTACAAGGCTCTTTTCGGGCTTAGGGATGCTTAATTTGTTAAGAGCCAACCCTATGAATTGAATGCTTGCGTTCGTCACTCATGAGAAAAGAATTAGGGGGGGCGCTCTATAGGGATGTGTAAAAGCCTGCAATCCTTCACGAGGACCACAGCTGTACCCTTGATCATTTTGGTGCCTTCCCTATCCTTCCCCACCCACATCCCCACTCTTTTATTTTTATTGCAATCACCATACTCAATTCGAGTATACAAATTTCAATTCGGCCCCACACATGAATCTCAATAATTAATTTAACCCTGCTCCCTTCCGCTGAATCGAACATATAGTAACATGGCCTCTCTCTTCTCTCTCCGAACCTTATCTTACAACCAATCCCAATAGTGACGACAACCTTCGTCTCTTTTGTATTATTTAAAGTCCCCCTCTTGTGTGGGATTCATAAGACCTAACTCTGTCCCCTCTCTCTCTCTCTCTCTCTCTCTCTCTCTCTTACACCATCTCTCTTTCCCCCATCTATATATCTTTCTTTCTTCTCTTTGTACAAACCCCACACCTCCCCCCTCTTATTATTTATGGATATCACCAAAACCAACACAAACTCAACGACACCAACAACAAGCTCAAGCTCCTCTTGGGATCTTGACATGACCATGAACAACCACATCCTCCTTGATCAAATCCAACCCCCCTACGACTTAACCCTCAACCCTAGTTTACACCACCATTTCCAAAACCTAATCCCTCCCAATCCCCAATTTCAACTCGAACTATCCGAATCCGATAACAACGCCCAGTCTCACAACGACAATGAAGAAGAAGAGGAGGCTCTAGGAGCAATGAAGGAGATGATGTACAAGATTGCAGCCATGCAACCAGTGGACATAGATCCCTCAACAATCAAGAAACCGAAGCGAAGAAATGTTCGAATAAGCGACGACCCTCAAAGCATAGCAGCGAGGCACCGACGAGAGAGGATAAGCGAGAGGATAAGAATCTTGCAGAGGTTAGTTCCTGGCGGGACTAAAATGGACACTGCGTCCATGCTTGATGAGGCCATCAGATATGTCAAGTTCTTGAAAAGGCAGGTGCAGGAGTTGCAGGCCAACCGGTGGGGCCCCAAGTCGGAGTCCCGATCGGGTCTATGGGTTGGAGTGTGGGCCCATCGTCATCGCCAGGGATGGGTGGTTTGCCGACAGGGCTAGGGTTTGCGTTTTCCGGTGATGGGTCAAGTCATCATCAATAGGTAATGTTAGGAAATTGACATGATGATTGATAATTAATTAATGTGGGTTAATTCCATGTTCTATAAGTTGTTGGTGTGCGATATCGATGAGTTCAATTGGATTAAATATGGATGGATGTAAGGGAGAAATTATAAGGGCTAGCTTGAAGTGTAGCATAAAGTGTATATATGCATGCCATTTGAGTTTTACTTTATATTTTTGGTTTAGTTATTGATTTTATTGGGTCATGTGACTATAGTTTGTTACAGTATGGTTGACTTTGGTGGCCCTAGAATCATGAATCATGATAACGGTTACCTTTGTGGTCTTGTATCAGTGTGCTTTTGTGCTTGCTTGCAATGTATTGATGTATTGAGATTTTGAGGTGAGAGGGATTTCGTCTAATTTTTAGGCAAAGTGATGAAGTCTAGGTTGGAAGTTTGTTGGAAGGGAGTTTCCTTCACTTGGAAAGGAAACAGAAAAAACCAGAGATGTGAGCTATTGGAATGATGAGCCTATATCTCTGCTTCTCTCTCTACCATGCGCGTTTGCACGTGGGAATATCATGTACATCTTGACATTATATCCGATGCTGAGCTAGATTGATCCTCTCTCTCTCTCTCTCTCTCTCTCTCTCTCTCTGTATATAATAGCTTAAACTATTTGGAAATGAAAGTAGAGTGCGTCCGCTAATTGGAAGAATTTCATGTGATTGTTCCGCAATGTAAATATTAAGAAAGAGTAATCAATTTAAATAAAAAGTGAGAACGCATTCCTACTGTACAGCATGTCTGGCGATATATTTAGTTTTACTTAAGAGTATCTTTTTACTTAAGCATCAAAATCATGTTTCGTAAAGGTTACTTATAACTTATTTATAACTTATACGTAGGGAAAAAAAATAAGTTGGGATTTTCCAACTTATTTTTTGATCACTGTAGGTGTAAATTTTGATCTCCCGAAAACAGGGAACTTCGTTTGTATTAATAAGAAGGCTTATTACAAACTAATAAATCGAAATTACAACAGAAGCAGAAGGAAGGCCCTCCTTATTTAGTGTGGGGACTTTCGGTAGCTACAGGATGCTTTGCTCGATGCTCGTGTCGAGTCTGCTTCCCTTGGACGGTTTGACCGAAGTTGCTGGAGAGCTTCAGTACACAGTAGAAACTCGGATTGATGGAGTTCGGGTTCTCGAGTTCGGCGGCGATCAGGGCCCGAAACTGAAAGGGGATGCTACAGTGCAACGGTTATGCAAAGAGCTTGTCATCGACCCTCGCGGGAGTCGAGAGCTAGTGGTTCAATTAGCTGATTCGGCGATGAGCGAATCGCTGGACGGTTGAGAAACAACTGAACTTCTTCTTCGTAGCTGGAAAAAGTTCTGAACTGGTGAACCGATGAACCTCTCCCTTGTGGCTGGAAGAAGTTCTTAAAATGGTGGAGAGACGGCGTGGTCACTCCTTGAATTATGGGATGTGATCATGTACTGTTGAGAGATGTCTTGCCGCTCATCTGTACTACGAACGGTCATTCGATGGGTTGTGCTTCACGTCGTGTCACGTAGGAATGGGAAGGCCCCCTCCTCGTATGTGAGACAGTGGCTGCCCACTACTCGAATGGATTTGGCCAGCCTACTGTGCACCGGCGGATCCAGCTCTTGACTTGGACCGTTGAGCTGAGTCGCATTTATGAGCGCGCAGGTTGATTTGGCGTCTGTCTGATCACTCGTACTGTGAGCGACCACTGGACGGGCCTAGAGTACTGTGCTCTCTCTCTTCTCAGGTCATGAGAGGTGGGAAAGCAGGTGTCCGGCACTCGAGTAGGTTTGGACAGCTTGCCGAATGCCGGCGGATCCAGCTCTCGACTCGGACGGATGAGGTGAGCTGTATTTATGAGTGCTCAGGTTGACTCGACACCTGCCCGATCACTCGTACTGTGAACGGCCATTCGATGGGCCTGGAGTACCGTGCTTTCTCCCTTTAGGTCGAGAGAGATGAGAAAGCCCGCCTTGGCACGTGGGGTAGCAGATACCTAGCTATTCTGGCGGCCTTGAGGTTCGCTAGCGAATTCGACTTCAGACCCGGTCAGGCGAGTTGTATTAAAAGGTGAATTCTCGTGGCTTAGGCGAATTGTATGGGCGACTTCTCCTTGTAGGCGAATTTCTTGCAAGCCCACAGAGGTATTTTTTACCGTCTACAAGACCCCCTTCAAAGTTTTCAGACCTAAACCGGCTTGCGTGTGGTCTGTAATACTTTGAATAAAGAAGTTCTTGGTGAAATAAGTGCATTTGGTTTCTTTTAGGATTTTTAGCAAACCCTCAGCTATCAACGGGTTTGATATGCCTTTACCGATTACCGTTTGAATCGGGCTAGCCATACTATTCCCCTCAGTATGATGAGTTGTCGAGTAGTTTCTCTTAGACTTGATGCTAAGATTTCTACTCTAACCCTCAGCCCTCTGAGGCGCGGGTTAAAACGAGGCCATCTCGTTGGAGGTTCAAGGCTTTGGACAGGTCAGTTGTCTCCACAGGCGAATGAGCCGTTCAGGCGTGGTTAGGTTTTGGAGGCGAAATTTTGCTCAACTTGCGGATCTGATTAGAATTTTCGCAGGTGAGACTTTTCCTTTGGGCGAAACTAGGTTCAGTGTGAGTGAGCCACGCGTCCGCCGGCGGGGCTTTGTGCTTTCCAGCTAAGGCGGCGTGGTTCCGTCATGTCGCGTTCATTGTGATTCGACAATCTAACGTAAGCTTCGTGCGTCTCGTCTGAATCGTGGCCGTGGTTTTTGAACCCAACCGTCGGATACAACCGTCGATTTCGGCTCGGGTTCCGGGTTTTCGACCGGCCTGTTTCCCGTCTTGACGGTTCCTTCGAAATGTTGGGGGCAATCTGGGCCGTTGATTCCGATCGTGGTCATGTTTCTCGTCCGCTAGTGTTTCGCTTTTTGAGGGCGATCGTGGCCACGTCAGCAACGAATAGGCTATTCTCTTTCCTTTGAGAGCTACCGTGCTCAAGAATCTTGAAAATTTTCTAAAGAGAGAGAGTTCCTGCTTTATCCCCCAATGGCGCCGAAATCTAAGAAGTGTGTTGCGAAGGGAGGAGGTCCTGGACGCTATTCTGACCGCCTCGCCACCAGTGTGCCCGCCAGCATGCGTGAGACGCACTTGGGTAAGTCAAGGGGTTCGTCTGACGACCTTGTGTAGGTTACAGACGTCGGGTTGGGAGGATAAGTATCATTTGTCCTCCCTGGATTCAGTCATCCTTTGGCAGCTTCCCCGATTTAGGGCGAAGTCGGCCCTTTTTAGGCGGATTTTACATTTATTCGTAGAGGACGATCTCTGTCTCTACATGCGAAATTAACCTTTATTGGATGAAGGCGAACTCGTTTTTGATAGGCGAGTCTGACTTTTTCTCTGGTAAAGGTAAGTATCGTTTAGATAGGCAGATCTCGTTCAGGTTAAGCGGATTTTACTTTTTGACAGGCGAATTCGCCCTTCTTGGCTTGATAGGCGGATTTACCCTTAGGGCGGATTCTGTCCTGATTCTTTGGTTCTTTCTTGCAGCGACCTTTTCTGACAAAGCCCTTCCGAAGGGCGTGGCCATCGGTCTCGCCGGAGGCACAGGCTATACGGCGCCTCCCCGATTTCCTTCCTTGGATCCGGTGCCTGTGTTCTCCGCTGATAAGCCGGATGGCCTGATAAGGAGAGTCACTGATGGGCACCATCTAACGCTGCGTGAGCTGACCATCGACGCGGTGTTGACAGATGAAACCAGGACGGAGTTACAAAAACCCCAGTTCTTGTTTGGTGACATTGCGACTGATCCTTCCGCCCTACTGCTCAAGGAGAGCAGGTGGTTCTGCGTGGTGGACGGGATCCACTATTATCTTCCCAGCATGCCGAGAGGGTTTTCAATCGTCGAGTTGCGGTCTTTCGCGGTCCCTAGAGTGATGAACTGGGATTTGACCCCTACTCAGGATGGGGTCACTTGCGGTGTCTTCACGGGCTCCACGGCTGGATACGGGGTGGAGAGCTCTTGCAAACGGGTGACCTGTCTGCGTCCTGGCCTACCGTTCAACGAGGCGCCCGCCGGAGAGACGGTAGCGATCGCGGAGACCTTCCGTCATCGTTTCTTCCAAGCTGGCGGGAGATTTCCCCCAAAGGACTTTAGGGCTCCAGGGTGGATCTACTCTGTGCCTGGAAGCAAGACCT